AGAAAGTTCTCTCCTCAGTTTACATTCTTGTACCAGATTTCAATCATGTTAGTTCTGTTCCATATCTGGCATGAAGACAAAGCCAAGCCAAGCCAGAAAAATCAAAGTAGAACTAATTTACCGAAATGTAACCAACAGAAAAGACAAGTCTGTAGGTATTCTGTGTTTATTTTCTAGTTCATAACTTAAAGCTGTCAGGAGAAACAAAGTTACATTGCTTTTACTAATTTTTTTTTAACTACATGTCCTGAGATTTTCTGATACATGTTAGTAAGCACCCTATAAAACATATATTACCATAAAGTCATGTTTCATTTCACTGGTATCTACCATGACTTTTACTTATTTGAGAAAATACATTTTGCTTTGTAAGAAGCAGCCACTTTGCTTCTTTTTACACTAAACCTACTGTAAAATTACTACGTATTCAACATACATATTTTCAACACATCTGATCAAGTATTTTATATTTAAAAACACTAAAAGACGAGTCTGGTAAATACATCCATTTAATCTCTCTGACTTTAGCTCAAATCCTGCTTTGGTCACAAATGAAAAAGAGTCCAGTGATCTCATCCTTGTGCCTAAAAGGGATGTTTGTGTCCATTACAATACCACTACACAACCTGACTGTCTTTTCTCAGAAGAAGAGTAAGACATGAACAGCAGGAAGCGTGTCAGCCAGGAATGAGACTGACAGGGAAGATACTAAGACTGACTCCAGCCAACAATACAAACGTCATTTTCAAAAGCATGAAGCAGAGCTGCTCAGCTAAAGTCAAAAGCCAGACACTCCGAAGCTGTAAATAAGCACATCTTTCCCAACAGTTCCCTGGTCCCATTTTTTAAAAAAAACCAAAAAACAACCAACAAAACATTAATCCAACACAGAAGAGAGAAAGCAGTTTGCAAGAAATGATTCAACTCTTATCCCAAACGAAAATATTTTAAGGAAAATGCTTTAAGAGGAGCCTCCTCTTCTACAAAGACCATTTTATAGATTTTCCCTTAAATATTCTGAGTCAACACAATCTCCAGAACATATGCCTTCAAAATTTTAGAAATGGAAAAAGCTTTTCCATTCTATCATTTTGGTTAAAGAATGTTAATCCAGTTGAAGAAAAACACTGTACAGTTCATATACCTTCAACACATATATACTCATTTAAAATTCTCCACTAAAAGATTAATCACAGGCAACTTCATCAAAGAACTCCCGAAAAAAACCCCCAAAATCTATGTTTAGTCTACTCTGTCAAGTAATATGGTTTGAGCAGGCTTTAGTCCTACCAGTTCATTAATAAGTATTTTCTCTTATAGTATTTTTCCATGAACTATTAGTGTATCTTTCTAAGCATGTAAACGACGTCTTGTCAATTTTCACTTGCAGACTCCGTATTTCTGGAAACTCTGATTGACAAAGTACTCTAACCCTGCCTTCCCATATAGTTTATATTTATATTTATATTTATATTTATATTTATATTTATATTTAGGGGGGGGGGGGTTAAGAGACAGACAAGTAAATTTAAACCATGTCCACTTCAGAAGGGAGAAAATACAGCCACATCTGTACACATATAGATTCCTCAGTATTTCTTTCAAAAAGTTCCCAAGATGCCTTAGGAAAACTTGGACTAAGATAGGATTAAGTGATTTACTAATAAGAGCAAAGGAAAACAAGCAAGTCTATCTGCTGAACTGTACAGGTCAAACAACCATCTAAAAGCATCCGTAAAATCCACAGTTACTGATTAAGAAACTTTGTTCAATACAGGTAGCTTTATATCCTGATTATACAGTTCTCCTTTCAACAGAACTTTCTCTTGGCAGCAATCCTATAATCTAGATTTAGATACTACACAGCTTCCTGAGACTACTTCATTAAATGGCAGAATGGCAGCTGCAGAAATGGGTGAAAAACAGAGATTGTTTTCTCACATGCCCTGAAATAGAGGGGAGGGAAGGATGAGAAGTTCCCCCGATCCAGAGTTGCTGGTATTTCTTTTCCTGACCCCTATTTCCATGAAAGCATCCCACAGAATGCCTGCGTATTCTTCTCAGTTTGATCTGCAGTCTAGCAGATTCTCTTACTGCAAAGTAAATACTTATTCAAGGGAATTTAAGAGTTAAATATTTCTTTCATGGATTACTATATTAGAAATCTCCTCATCTTAAGATTCTCCTCTTTCCAACAGCTGTTTTACCCTGTACTATTCAAAACTGCTTAAGTCAGTTCTGTTAACAAATTCTTCTTGGTACAAATTCTTCTGATAACTAATCTTCTCTGTAACCCTATGTTAAATAGGAAATTCCTTTTCTGAAGGAATTAATAGCATGTGTCATCTTTTGCCTAAAATAAACTTCCACTGTTGGATAAAAGCTGTATCTTATCCTTTCAAATGCTGTCAAGATACTCCTACAGTAGGGGAATTCCTGTTGATAAGCTGTCACTATCAGTTATTGCATATATAGAATTACATTTTTTTTAAAAAGGGTAGTTATCACCAACACTTCCCTCTATATCGCTTCATCCAGACAAATCTGTTTGTCAAAGAAACTACCTATTCAATTGCATGGTTTATATAGCATTTAAAACAGCAGTAAATTAATACCTATTCAGGAACCTGTAGACACTAATTTAAAATTAGTCTTTTTGTAAATATAGGTGTACAGAAAGACTTTAGGTTATAAGCTTGCAAGTCTAGGTTCAAGAAGAAAAAGATAAAAATCTTTACTTTCCTTTTACTAAGATATCTATTTTACTAGTGCATAATAGTGCTATGAAGTTCTCCAAATGAAAAGAAACACTGTGCATTCATTACTTGGAAATATTATCACTGAGTGGAGAAACTGTATCTAGAATTACCTTCTAGATATCCTTGGCTGACAGGTTTTAAGAACTTTAGATTACATTTTCTTACCTAGTTCAGTAACTTGTCGATCAAAAGGACAACGAACTGCTCTGCCATGAAGGGGAAGCCGGGTAAGACAGTCATGGCAGACAGTATGGCCACATAAAAGCAGCCGGGGAACTTTGTCACCTTGCAAAGAAAACACATCTTCACAGACTCCACACTCAAGAACCTATAATTTAAAAAGAGATCATATTTGGTTTTGAGCTGATAAAAAAGCAAAGCTTCATACCGTAAGCCATATGAAACTGTCTGTATTACAGAAGTTCCTACAGTCACAGCAAATAGGCTGGGTCATTAGTTTCACTTTGTACACACAAATAATGATCATACCAATGATATTTAAAACTCAAATAAATAGACATGAACAGAATATTTTAACTCTTCAGAGTCCCACTGGATAAGCACCAGTTCTTGCCCACTTCACTTAATGCAATGCCACAAGAAAAGCCCTGGTCAAGTGGCACGACCAAGTAAACAGAAACGTTCTCACACGAAAAGAAAACGGAGGGCAAGACACTGCCAAAACTGGCCATCAGCCGTTGGAGAAAATTTTCCATTCATAGCTGATGCACATCAGAAGGTCAGTCATACCAAGTTAGACGTTTATGAAGCTACAAATGCAGCACCCAAGTAGCAGGAACAAACAGCAGGGGACTGGAAGATATTAAACCCCTAATAAAAAGTGAAATTGACCGTCATCTAGAAAGAAAAAAACCTCACCCAACAATCCGTAAGACAACAGCGTCAACTAACCACCTCAGGGAGCTGGGCGTTAGTTTTCTCCGAGACTGCTCCTCTTCGGGGCAGTCACCCCTCCCCTCACGCTGAGACCTCCCGCCTCGCAGCCCGCGCCGGGGCACCCCACGGCAGCGCGGCTCCGCACGGCCGAGGCTCAGATGGGTAAAGTAGTGCAAGTGTGTAGATGATTTCAAAGCCCATCTTCTGCCCATTTACTAGTTTTACAACACTCCTGGAGAGAGTTTTTAATGGTGTCTGCATGTCACAGTAAAACCTGTTAACCATAATTCAGAGATCAGCAAGCCGTTTTTCATACACGTACACACGCAAAATAAAGTCCAAAAACTGAGAACACAAACATCATCAGCTGACATTATAAATGCATTTTGATAGTAATTAATTAAAAGCAAAAAGCTTTTCTTTTGTAAGAAACCAGTAAAATCCTTAGGCTTGTATTGAATTTGGTGCAGTGGCTGCAGATTTTGGAAAAGAAGTAAGAAAAGTATCAACGTTTATTTGCATTGTGACTATTTTAAACAAAATCTTGACAGTGTCATTGTATATTGCTGATCTCTGGCTGAGAATCTGAAGTGATTGCAGAATTGTTAGGAAGGAAAAAACAGAAGAGCAAGAGAGTGCATGTTAAGTTAATGTTTCATAGTAGAATTCGAAGTTCCCCTCCCCCCTTAATATAATCTTTGTATGAAAGAAATCAACTGTGTATAAAATTATTGTCTTTAAAGACTTAATGAGTCTTTTAGTTATTCAAATAGTCTGATAAATTAAGCAGTTATCTGGTCCGTAAGGACTGAAAGGATGTCTGCATGTATTGCTCAGAAGCTTTGAGACTAAAAGTGTACGTCTAGTTCTGATATGAAATGGAAGCAGACAAATTTGCCTATAGCGTTTCCCTTTTAACCTGTGACTTAAAAACTGCATTACTGGTCAGTACCATTTCAGGAAGGATTTTTGTAAAACACACATTGTTTTCTGGTTGCTTGGTGTGCCCTGGCTTAAAAAGTTGAAGTGTAGGAGGAAAACACTTTTTGAAAAAACAGAGTTGTCTGGTACATTTGTCTGGTAAAGTGTAGCAGTAATTTTATGTCTTTGAATATGCATCCAGCACTATAGCAAGATTAATGACAGATGGATGCCAAGTGTGAGATGTTGACAGTAGAAGAATATTCCTGGAAAAGACGGTGTTGAGTAAACTGCATGCATATGGATGTTAGCGTACTGAAGTTACACTGGTAATGATGGCATACAGTCACTAATGTTCAGCCTGGATAAAGTAGAATGTTCTGATATATAGATAGATAGATAGATAGATAGATAGATAGATAGATAGATATATGGGGCTTATTTTTACTACATGCTGCTTTTTTTGTAAAAGATCCTAGCAATATTTTTCTTAATATGGTAGTATATTTTTTTTTTTATAATACTTCCACTTTAGGTCCTGTTTTCTACTGATCTTTGCAGCACGAGGCAAGGAAATTCTTGTAAATAAGATGTTTCAGTCTAAATTTGAGAATCCTAGCCAAGAGACTGTTCCTTTTCCTAAGAATAACTGGATTCCTACTGTACAAGCATGGAAGTGGTCTTGCATTATCGACCACATCAGAGAGATCTAATAAAACTGCAGAAATTTGCAGAAGCAGCAGTGAAGGAGTTTCCCATTCGCCAGTTACCAAGATTTACACCCTGGTTTCCAAATGATTTATACAGACTTCCCCTCAAACCAAAAAAGAGTCCACCTGTTATTTCTTGTGAGGAAGCAGAAGAATTGAAACAACGTTTTACACCTTCAGAGTATGTCACAGGATCTCCTGATTATGACTGCACAAAAAATCTCCTTGAGTTTCAGACTGACATGAAACTTGGGCAGACTTTAATCCAAGCACAAACTATTCACAGACCAATTAAGTTGGAGAATCCAGGACAACCACCACCTAATGGACAACAAAAATTGAAAAGGTCTTGGAGTGTCTCTCTCCCTAGCCCTCAGCTTAAAGAAAAGATTCTTCCTTTATCTCAAGAACTGCAAAGTAATTTGGAAAGACTAAAACTGCATGCATTTTATAGAGCAAAGTGGACAATTGAACAGTCTATTTGTAATAATCAAAATTTGGAGGACATCTGGATAAAATTGAATAGACTCATCAAGCAGAACGAATTGCCATCTTGCAATGCTACTATCCAAAGATCTGTGGGACAGATATGGATTTTCTGTGATATACTATACTGTGAATATGTTAGAAATATTCTTAGGGAAAAGCTTAGCCTTACTGATAAAATGAATTTGCTTGTACATAAATTTGGAATTATATTTAGTTTATAATCATAAGGTAGAGTTTCCTAATAAAATTGCTGTCTGAAGTACTAGAGTTTTTAAGCAGCATAGAATATACAAACTTTAGGACACTGATGAATTAATGAGCAGAAAACCACTTAATATTGCTACAGGTTTTTTTAACCGTAATAATATATTTATTAACTTTGTTTTGCCAGGAGATTTATCAATGGTTTCTGTTAAGATTACTAAGTTTCTGTTTGGCTTAGAATTGCATTTTGTAGCTTTTCTCTACCTCAGTGGTTTAAAGGAGAAAAATCAAACTAAAAATTCCAGACTATTATAGCAAGTTTTGTCAGATAATAAAATTTATGCTTTCACTCAAACAACATACATCTTCACTGTGCTTCTTTGAAATGAGGAGAAGGAAAAGTATTTTAAAGTGAGTTGTTATAAAGGGTCTGTGATTATTATTGACACCAAGGCTTTCAAGATCTGATTTTATTTCCTGAAAGTAGAGTCAGGGAGGAGGTTTGAATTGAAGGCATAGTACTCCGCATGAAATACAAACTTACTGTCTATTGCATGTGTATGCTGTCTTGGTAACATTACCTGTATTTTCTCAGAAAAACTAATTAAAGCTTCAGTGGAAGCTGAAGAATAATGAACAACTTATCATTTGCTGTTTTATGACTTTGTTAGTAAGATTTTTTTCCTGATGTTACTGGTGGTTTATCTCTAATTATATTTGAGAACAAGAAAGCGCTGATTGCCAGCTACAGGTCAGGAAATTAAGAAAACAGACTTCTATCTGTAAACCTCTATTTGTTGTCTGTATGGAAGGTAAAGGTCTCTGAGGATTTGAATGTGTTTTACTGTGATAAAAGGCTGGGATCAGCATGACCTTTTGTCAGCTGAGAAAATAGAATGTTTCAAGGTCATGCTGTCCCTGCTCAATTCAGTGTTTGAAGGGTCGGCAGAACAGTTGAACTGGAATCGATATGACTGCAAGGGTGTGAATTTCTCTGAGGCACCCCTTACTATCTCCAGATAAATTTGCTGTAGCTGGAGGTCAAGGGCTGTGGCATCTGGAAAAGGGGGAAAATAGGTGAATGGTATTTGTAGATTGTGAGATTATCATTAGCACTGATCATAAATAAAAGTGTACATAAGCATAATGGAGATCCCCCTGTGTAAAAACAAAATAGAATCCCCTTGGGCTTTTACTTATATTTTTATTTTACATGTTGGAATAATGACATTTTATTATAGGCATTACATATATTTTTGTAGTTTAAAATTAAGAATATTGCTCAGTTTGGATCATTGACGTGAATTTTCTAAACTTTAGATAAATGTTAAGGGGGATTTATATTGACATTTAGGGTGTTTCTGAAATGTAATATTACCACTATGCAAAACTGATGTAAAATGCTGTGTAGAGTAACTGAGCATCATTATTGGTTTTAAAGTTTATATAGCCAAGTTATTTCACTGAAATTGTTTTTCTGAACTTACACAAATTAGTAACAAAAGTTTCTTTGTGCATCAGCATTTTTAAAGATGTAGAGAAGTAGAATGCATTGTGATTTTGGTTTTCTTTAATGTTGTATTCTGTGTCTAGGATCTAAGAAGAAAGCAGATGAGAAGTTGTCCTGCAAAGATACAATATTTTCTAATATTAATTTAGTAATCCTATTAAATATGATAATTTTCATTTTTAAGCTATTTATGTTTTGACTTCATTCCATGATCTATATTTATGGTTCTAAACATGACTACACTTGATCTGTAACTGTTCTTTTAGAAACAGTGAGCAAGTACTAGTTTATATGGTCTTACTGTAGACTTGAAAAAAATTAGGTAACCGTCAATAATACAGTCCCACCATATTTATTTAATATATCAACAAAAGAGCTAAACAAACATTTGATAAACAGAGAGATTGATGTTCGCTGTTCAGTGGTAGCTGTCAGCTTTCTGCTGCTTTGGGTTGCTTGTATGTAAATAATGATCCCCACACTGCTAGCTGTTAGCACTCTAGCTGGATAACTGTCATGTAATAAAAACTAAACACAACATTTGGTTTCTCTGTGGAATTATTACGGTCTTGGTTAACACCAGTGTACAAACTGAAACCCAGAATTTCATTTTGAACTGTTCCAGAAATGCTTAGTTCATATGCATGTATAAATCAGTATTTATATTTTTCATTTTCAGTGTTGAATCTGGTTCTTCATGTATTGTGTTTTGTATATTCGGTGACTTTTTATTTACCTCGTGGTTCTAAGCCTTCAGAGGTCATATTTTTCAACTTTTCACCATAACAAAGAGAATGTGTCACCTTTTTTACCTGAAAACAGATTTATTTATGTCAATGCTAGCTTGCATAGGTCTGCTCTATAGTAGTTTAAGTTCTTGTGAACCAATACAGCTCACTACACCGGAATTTATATTGAAATTACTTAATATTTTACATGACTGGAAATAGTAAATATTGACCAGACATATAAAATGTACAAAAGATGTAAAGAAAAAAGCACAATACATCTGTCAGTTGCAATCAGGTTTATTTTTTATTTTTAGTTTTTCTGAAATGATATGGGTTTATGTTTCTTAAGTTTCAAAGCAAAGCAAGTCAGGGATTTTTGCATCTTCAGATCAATACCTAAGGTTACAAATGCTCAACTTTGTTTCTTGAGAAGCTAGATGCAAGATTAGGACCTTTGGTTTATATGAAGATGGAATTATTTTAAGATGCTTAGATCTGTAATACAAATAATGTCATTTTGAGGATTCTTGAGTTAAAAGAGCCACTGAAAATACCACTTTCTTGAAGTAGAGGGGTTTTAATAGCAAGATCTGAATGATTTTGATTTCATCAGTATCATTAAAATAGGGTTTTTGTGTGTTCCTGAGGCTTTTGTAATGGTTTTGCTGGTTTGAGTTTAAAGTTTGTGACAAAAAGAAACAGTGATTGTATAAATAATGTAGGGTTTTAGACTTGTAACTCTTATCTTGTGTATGTTTTGGAGATTAGGGTGTAAATGCAATTCCTTATAGCCTGGAGTTTGACTAAAATACTCCATACTAGACATCATTTCCCATTCTGTCTCCACATCACGTTCCCCCATCATCACCCATGTGATTCCTCAGGATCATAGAACAGTGCTTAGCCTAGAAGCGTCGACAAAAAAATGAAACTAGTATACTTCTGAAATCCGCAAAGCACTTGAGGCTGTAGCAGGTATAAGACATTTAGCATACAGGTTTGAAAGCAGTAGATGTTAGTGCACCAGGGGAGCAAAGCAAGAGGGAGCAATGGTATCACCAGGCTTTTGTATCCCAGAGTAGCAGGGAATATGTTATATTAAAAAGGTCAGGTGACCCAAAAAGCTTTTACCCTTTTTCAGGCTAAGATTTTGTGGTTGTGGGTTTTTTGGGTAGAAGGAGGACAAGGCAAAATTAGACTTTAAAAAAAAAAAAAATATTGTTTCATTGACCTGTGGTTTATTTTCTGATTTTTTGCAGTGATGAGACTAACCAAACCTACTTTATTCACTAATATTCCTGTGACTTGTGAAGAGAGAGATTTGCCCGGTATGTCTTTTCTACTGACTGATTATTATATACATATTACCGTGTTTAAACAATGTGAGCATCTGAAACTTACATGTCAGAGCAGTCTTATGACCTCCCATAGACAGTAATCTGAAATAACAATATACTTTATGTTTGGTAATGGAAAACACCAAGGTGCACTCTACAACTCTTGACCTACAACTTTGAAAGCTTGGTGATGAAACTGCAAACATGTGCCCTCAAAGTCTGAGTAATTAACACACAAGATGGAATGCAGTTGTGAGAGTGAAATGTGTAATTGTAGAAAGTTTGGCGTTACTGTGTTCTTTATCTGGAGAAAATGCCCTGGTAATTAGAACCAACACATGAACGTTCTATGGAAAATATTTTGCAGGAGTCACTGCTTTTGAGTTGTGTTATGCTTGGTGTGGTCAGAAACTGGAAATCCCTGGGTTATTTCCCAGTAATAGTTGCAGTCTAGAAGTATAAGAAAGAGGCAAAGGAAAGATTCAAGAAAAGAGGATTGTCTGGAAATACAAGGCAAGCAGGGGAAGACAGTAAGTGAGGTTGATTAGTTCTGTTATATAATGTGCTTTAGTTGGGCAGAATTTGCCTTACAAGTTTAATTTTTATTTGAGCAGTGCCTTTGGGATTGCACCATTCAGTATGTATACCAAATGATTCATTGAACACAAGTGCCTGGAAGTAAGTTGTTATTTATAGACAGGCCTATAGATACGTATTTCATCCCTAAACAAGTTGGTTGTAAAATAAGTGTGTCTTAATCATTTATTAAGATGTAATTTATTTTAGTGTCATAACTTAAATGTAGACAAAGCTTTAGACAGCACGTATTTAGATATTTGGTATTTCTACAGGTAATCTATTTAACCAGCTCATGAAAGATGATCCTTCTACTGTAAAGGGAGCAGAAACTTTGATGCTAGGAGAAATGCTGACTTTGCCTCAAAATTTTGGGTAAGAATAAGTTATTTAACTGTAACATGAAAGGTTTAGGATTCATTTAATGATAATATGTTCATTACTTTTCTTTCTTTTTGAACATCATTCATTTTGAACAACATCACATGTGCAGGCATTTTTTAAACAGTCTATGGCTTGATTTATAATGAGACATAATATATAAATGTGTGCTACCCAATGTTCCTTTTCTGTAGCCTGACTCTGAATGTAATAAAAATTGAAAGTTGAAAGGAATCTGCAGCTGTAGGTGAATTTCTAATGTAATGCACTACTATAAACCACATCTTTTACTAACAGAGTTTATTACAGTGATTTTTGTATATACTGTAAGCCATCTTATTCTTCACAGATTTTTATCTAGAAAAAAATTCGGATTTATTTGTTCTCTTTTTAAGTTGTCTGTCTTAGGAGGATGACATTTAGAAGTATAAGTGTGAAAATACCAATTTACTTCTAGGATTTGATCTGGCAAATGTGTGTATGCGTATGTGTGTATATATATATTTCTTTTAATTAGAATTTAAAGGGATTTCAGTGAAATGTTCTGTATTTTTTTTTTTAAATAACTGTTACTAAACATACTTTTTTTTTTTTGTAAACACAGAAATATATTTCTGGGGGAAACGTTTTCCAGTTACATTAGTGTGCACAATGATAGTAATCAAGTTGTCAAGGACATACTGGTGAAGGTATGTGAAAATAAACTTAGTTACTGGATTTATAAAAAATAAAATATGTTGAGTATGTTTTCTGACAATATCTTTTATGTTTTATGCTGATATATAGACTTTAGGAAGTATATGTCACTTTTTCCAATCTGGAAAATATACCTGGAAATTGGAAACAGTAAAACATAAAAATAGAAATGATGACAGAAATCTTTAAAAATTAAAATTAAGAACTATGATTGGATTAAAAGAAATGAATATGTTATAAAATTTCTCTAGAGAATTGGTGTAGCAAAACTTCCACAGCTAAAAAATTGCAGTTGTATTTGCTTCCTTGTACTTCCGATACAGTCATCAAAGCAAGCCTCTGTAAAGCATGCATTGACTTGTATTTTGCTTGCATTTCGAATGCATTCTTTTCTAGAGCATCTTTATTTTGCATTTTCTGTTGAAAAAATATTATGTTGATAATAAAAATTCCAGAAGTTATTGTGGAACTCAATGCAAAAAATAAATGGAGAATTTATAAGCCGCATGTTAAAGGATTGGACTGTTTATATGTACTTTAGAACTTGTCTTTAGCTTTGACATGTATCTCATCATCTTCACATATATTTATATAATATGTATAAAAGTATGTAGGATACAGAATGCTCAGTGAAACCTAGTATTTTATACCAGAAGTTGTTTTTCTTTAGATTGCTTTAAGCATCTGCAGTTCTAACCAATGCTTTGTGTTTCTGTCCCCAGGCTGATCTTCAGACAAGTTCTCAACGCTTGAACCTTTCAGCTTCGAGTGCTGCAGTGGCAGAACTTAAACCTGACTGTTGCATTGATGATGTGATCCATCATGAAGTAAAGGAAATAGGAACGCACATGTAAATTTAAATTTTTCTGTGATTAAATGAGCTTAAATGATACTGCAGCACATGCATGCAGTTCTGTTGCTGCTTTGATATAGGCACAAAATTTAAGGTAATTCAAAATTTTTATTAAAAAATTTTTCTTTCAGCTTAGTTTGTGCAGTAAGTTACACTATGCAGACAGGAGAGAAGATGTACTTCAGAAAGTTCTTCAAATTTCAGGTATTGCATGAAGTATTATACTCTGCTTTTAATAAGTGGGTGAATCTGGAAAACCCATTTTAAAACATTTGATACTTCAGAGGCACTTTTACGTACTAAAAATCTGTTTGACTTCTCAAAATGAACCAATAAAAAAATGTCGCTTCACATGAACTGATGGTTTTTAATTACCATGCAGTTAAACATTTCAGCAATAATAAACATTACATCTTAGAAATTTTATTTCTTTTTTAAGAAAGAAAAATCTACTCTTTAAAAAAACCCTCTTTATGGCAGCCAGCTTTATGATTATTTTTAAACAGAATAAGTATTGTTCATTCTGACTTTGAAACATCTAAATTTTGACTTTAGATTGTAAAATTCTGCTTTTTCTTCTAGCTTTTTTAAAATTGGAACTCAGTTATTCGGGTTTTTTTACAGAAAACTAGGCAAAGAAGCCGAATCTGTTATATCTGACTAATATCCACAGAAGTGATTGATATAGTTGAAACCTTTTGTTCCACCACACAAATTTCAAAACCTGAGATAAGAGTAATTGAGGAAAGTAGGTAATTATCATTATCTGTGGGCTGGGTCTGGCAGGAAAGAGTCTGTTTTAGCAGTGTATTTAACAGATGTTTATTTTTTAGAGAATTATGATGAGACTTGGATAACTGTGGTTCTTTCCCATAGAATGGAGGATTAGGTGACATGCTTTACTGAATACATTTTTAGATACTCTCACAGAGTATCTGACAATACAGGAACATATAATTGAGACCTGTATCTTTTGCAAAATTTCATTGTGCTCTTTTCCAGTATTCTATCTAGATACTTCAGAAAAAAGCATTTTGGTCTTTAGAAGGCTAAATTGCTGTGCACTACAGAAAAGAATCCCCAAGTGCTGTTAATACTCGTTGGCCTTAAAATGACAGGTATTAATTAGCTCGAGGTGTTTCCAGACAATCCTTCAGAAAATCATTTCATACGAATTTTTGTGTTTTATTTCCTCTGAACCCAGAAAGTCTGCAGTGTTTCTTTGTCTTTATTGTAGCCAATTTTCATCTTTGCGTGTTTTGTCTTGCTATCCTTGTGAAACTGTTTCCCTTTCAATTTCTCCTTTCTTTGTCCCCCTGGAGTTCAGTATTCTGTCCCTCTGTCCCCTCTAGACTTTCTTTGATCACTAATGTGTGCATCTACAGGCTTCCAGTTGTCATCTTCTCTCCCTTCCCTATCTTT